GTGCTCATGGAGCCTCGTGAGTGCTGAGCATAGCTTCCGACTCCCTCCTCTGATGTTCTGGGTCCAGGTGGAAGGGCTCCCATTTATTTAGGGTACAGTTGGTCCTGTGCTTGTCTTTGCACACCGTTTGCACCACCAGTGTCTCGGCCCCCAGGGCTCAGAGCCTGCCCTTGAAGGTGCTGCTCGTCTTTTAAGCCCCACTTTATGAGCTGCCCACCGTCAGTGCCCTTGGAAGTGTCCTTTCAGTGGAGAACATATACCTCATCTATTGTGAGCTCAGTTCTGACGTGTGAGGACAGCTAAAAGATGGTCGTAAAACTTCTCCAGCTGTATCAGATGTCTCACTTGCTCAAAATCCTCCTTATAACTAGGAATCATGAAAATTAATAAAATATATGTTTGAAGTTTTTCTAAACAGAAGCACAGTAGGTTGCAGAAAATCGCAGAGGTTAGATGTTCAGGAGAACTTCCACCACCGGGCATCCCTGCAGTTTGCTGCAGCCTGCCAGCCAGCCTCTGAGGACAGAAGGAGGATGGTTGGAGTCCTCTCTGTCTTTGAGGGCTTGTCCCTACATAATAGCACCGACTATGAGTAGAGAAGAGTTTGAAAGAGGCTGTTCTTAGTTTTTATTAAATAATAAAAACAACAACAGTAACAAACTAGATTTGGGGGGACAGTTGTTACAGATTTATAGCAAGAATGAGCAGAATGTACAGAGTTCCCTCCCCACAAAAGACAGAGCCTCCCCTTGTCGACACCTCTCACGGCAGGGCACTCTTGCTACCAGTGCACCTACACCGCCAGGCCCTCACCCTCAGCTTCCGCTTGGGGTGGGACATCTGTGGGTCTTGACAGGAGTGATGACTTGAATCCCCCTCTCACACGCAGGAGCTTCCGGGCCCTAAATGTCCTCTGTGCTGTCCTCCTCTGTCTCCTCCTCCTTCCTCCAGCCTCAGACATGGGTCACAGTGGGGGGCCTCGTCCAGCCTGGCGCCTTTCACTAGTAACTGGTCTCTCTTTCCCATCCCTCCCTGTTCACTGTGTGCAGGGCACTTGCTCCGCCCTCAGGCAGAGCCTGCCTGCTTTGACCTTTGCCTGCCAGGCTCTGAGCTCTGTGTGGGGGGATGTGCATCATGGGGAGGGTCATTGGGTTCAGCCCCGGGCTGTGAAGGGGTGAGGCTGGAGGGTTGTGAGCTCACTGGGTGTCCACAGTCTGCAGCCACACGGGAGCCTGGAAGAGCCCTCAGTACCGTGTGTGCTGAAGTTATTATGTGGGAGGGGAGATGCACAAAGTGGTCAGTGTTGGGGTAGCTGGTGCAAATATCCACAGGGGACATGTCTCTGAGATCAAGCAAAGGTTTATTGACAGAGCATGACAGACAGACAGGCTGCCCTCTGCCAGGCGCAACAGGCAGAGTCACTTGAATAGAGGAATAAAAGCAAGCTGGAAATGACCTTGGGTGCAGCAGGCTAGAATTGACCCTGGGTGTAGATGGCTGGGTATCAACAGATTTCTATATGTAGGGACTTTAGAGGGCGGGGTTATGGGAACAGAGTATCTTACGTTTCTTTTTCTTGGCAGCTGTATAAGTTTTGGTTCTGAGTCCCAGAACCAAAATGGAGGTACCAATGTCTAGAATCCAACAGCACTCGGTGTGGGCAGCACAGGCATGAGGTCTGTGCACTGGCAAACCTCTCCAGGAGGGACCTGAGTGAGCAGGGGTGGGCCGGGGTCAGGGCGAGAGGAGGTGCTGTGCCCCCGTAGTTCATGTCCTTTCCCTTCCTCCCAGCCTGGGCTCTGTCCCTGATGGTGGCATCAGCTCCCTAGATCTGAGTGGAGAGACCAGGCAGGTTACTCTCCCAGGGCCACGTACCCCGAAAGTCATCTACCTCCTGTGGCAGGGCTTCCGCAGGTGCCTCATGACTGCGGGGCGGTCACTCCACATCCACACAGGCAACACTTGTGAGAGGCTCAGCTGTCCCTTGCCACTCAGGAGTGCAGAAGGACAACCAGACCAACTCTCGATGTCGTGTCTCCCTTTCTCCAATGATCCAAGGACTGTTCTATCCTGTTGCCAGCTTTTGGGTGGTTTACAGTGAAAATAGAGACAAAGGAAAGTAAAGAGCCTTTGCAGAAGAGTAAAGCTGGAGGACTAAGCCACGGAGTATCGATTCAGAGGGCGGGAAACTGAGCTGGAGCAGACCGTCGAGGGCCTTGCAGGCCGGGCCCCGAGAGCCTCCAGCCTCTTCCCGTTTTCTAGCCACTTTAGTCCCCGTCACTTCTGAGTGCAGAGTGAGCGTCCCTGACCTGATCGTCTGCAGTCTGAAGTGCCCCAAGGCCTGGAGCATGAGGCCTCCCTGGGTCTCAGTCTTCCTTATTGAGAGGTAAGGTTGAGGTCTCTGGCTCCAGTCTTTAGAGGAGGAGATGACCAGCACCACCTGCCCAGGTGACCGAGGTCTCTGTCCAGGGTGAGGCAACATTGCAAGAGGGACGCACCATCTCTGTGGATTCCCCAGCATTTGAAATTCCAGTCTGTTCCTGAGAAGCATCAGCCACGTGGAAACTGAGGGACACTGTGGAATACCCGTCGTACCCTGTGAAAGTGCAAGGTTCACAAAAACAGTGAAGACCACGGAGCTGCCAGGGGCCCAGGAGAGCCAGGGCCAGGTGTGAGGGGTCCTGGATAGCACGAGACTTGAGTGGAACGTGACTGAAGTCTGTGGCTCGAGATTTGTGATGTCGGTGTTGAGAAGGGTGCCTGGCGTGTGGAAGAGGCCAGGTGGGGCAGTGGGGAGTGTGCTGAGCTCACGTCCCGTCTGGGCAGCTCCCCCAGCCTGGAGTCATCTAAAAATAAGTCAAAGGAAGCTCCGCATCTCCTTTTTCCACAAGGAGGGAATTACAGGGAGCCCTGATCCTGAGAGGAGGGGAGAAGGGAATTGCTTGGCTGAAGAGGGGGCGGGCAGGTTGAGGCCTGGGAGTCCAGCCTCTCCTTTGCCCCTCATTGGCCTCCTCCCTCCCATCCCCATGGACCCTCTGGGGTGCCTCAGTGGGGTAGAGGGAGGGAGAGGAGTAGGATGGGCAGGAGCGAGGACTGGGCCGGAGGCGTGCAGATGACTCCTGGAAAGAGGGCGGCAGGTGGCAGAGTCTGGTGACAGCCTTCAGAGAGGCTGCAGTGTCCCCCGGGGAGGAAGGGATGGAGGTCTGGTGTGGCCATTCCCCGGCCCAGGTAGGAGTGGGCAGAGGGCTGACAGCATCTTGGGGGCAGTGCCTGGAGAGCCTGTGTCCTCTAGAGGGGGACATGGTGAGTGTCAGTTATCTGAGAGCAGATGTCACCTTGGCAGCATGTCTGCAGCTGCAGGTGGACCGCAGCCCGCAGTGCCAGGGACGGCTGTTCCCTGTGGCTTCTCTTAGTTTAGTTTACAACTTACCACGGCAAGTAGGGTTTATGATTTTTATTTCCATTGTTTTGGATTGCTTTGTTTTCCAGTTTTTTTCGTCATAATAGAAAAGCATTTTAAATACAGAAAATACAAATTCTTCTAGGAATAATGGGATTCGTCATGGTTGCAGAGTTCCAGGCCCCGTGGATGGGGAGGGCCTGCACTCTGCTGTCGGAGCTCTGCTTGGTGCAGACCACCCCTGGATTTAATCTCTGTCTCTGTAAAGGCTTGGTAACTGTCTTTGCTGGTTTCCTATAGAACCTCCTGGCACACAGGGAAATCAGCATCCTAGGTAGGACAGCACACAAGAATCAACACTAGCTAACGTTGCATTCTAACTTTTCTCAAAGTAACTGTGCTTTAAAACCAAATGCTGATCTGTCTTCACACGCTTTAGCCTGACGTCTCAGTCCACAGCTTGCAGCTGCCAGATATTCTAGCAGCACAAAAATAAGTTGGAATAAAAACTAGGTTTTCAACAAGTGTTGAGGACAGCTCTTGAACAGCCTTCAAATCACATTAGCTGTGTTCCGTGGCTGGTCTTCTCTGTGGGCAGGCCGTGCTCTCCTGACCGTCCAGCTCCGGGAATACGTCTCATGCTTGGTGGCCTCTGATGGCACATGGCTGCATCAGACCAGCCTCCCTCAGAACTCCGGGTTCCTGTTCTTCTTTTCCTCTACTCCACTTTCAGCCTCGCCAAGGCTGCTGGTAGCCAAGTCTGCACTCTGCCTTCCTGATGGCCTCCGTGACCCCCTGAAGGCAGCTCTCAGAGCTCAGGCACATCTGTGTGGTCTCTCTTTCCAGAAGTCAGGTCTCCAGAGCAGCTTAGGTCTAGTTAAGTGGCTCCTGCACCCAACTGAACCCAAGCGCTCATTGGCAACAGCATTTCTGTGTTAATTGTGCCAATGGCAACTCTGACACTGGTGCACTTGGGGGCAGACATTGGGAACAGAGTGACATGACTCACTGAGACCCAGGCGGGTGGGAGGCCAGGTGCACAGCTGCGGGAGGTCGTTGCATCCCTTGGTGCCATGCCTGTGTGCAGCCCGTGTTCCGTCTCGCAGGTGGCGCCTAAGTCACTCATCTCCCATGGGAGAATTTTTCATTTTAGAGCAAATATTTTACCTTTAACGTTTCCAAAAGTACCCACCGTGTCAAGTGAGCATATTTGCTTTCTGTGTGTGGCGTCCACCCAGTTGTCCAACTGGAGGGACCCTCTTCCCTAGCTGTGGGAGGAAAGGGTGAAGATAAGTAAATAAATAGTAACATGCTTTCCTGCTTGAGGAAGAAAAGTAAGAGGACCAGGCTTCTGCCAGTGGCCCTGTGGTCTCAGCAGGCTCGACAGTGTTGGCGTGGATTTCTGCACGAGGAGGCGTGGTGGTCTTTTTAGCAGGGTCCACACTTCATTTGGCCCTAACCTCTCTCTGCACTGGTCAGCGTGGTCACATTCCAGTTCTTCCTTCGCCACAGGTCCCGCACTAGAACCTGAACACCTCGCTGCTGTGAACCGCCCACCAAGCTCATTAGTGTCTGAATTTTTTTCTTTTTGTTTTTTTAGCATCTGACAAGAAGTTCATCAAGAATAAAGAAGTGGCTCAGTTTCCTGGTAAGAGAACGTTTTATGAATGGTCATAGGGGGCTCTTGGGTGTGAGGCAGGGGAGAGACTGGTGATTGTCTGGCCTCTACTTTGTCCCTCTGTGGGTCAGCCCTGGGTGCCCTGCAGCCTGCCCAAGTGCAGCATTTCCCACTGGCTGACCTGGCTGCATGTGCCAGGCCCCCTCAGCCTCCTTTCAGGTCAGTTGACAGTGAATGTTCTGACTGACCGTGTGGGGCAGATCTGTGGGCAGTCAGTGGTCAGCTCAGTGGTCATCCAGGTAGACGTTTGCCATCTAGTTACACAATCATTCACCATTTCACTGCATTCACCCTCATGGCATGTGTGAAGAAGGAGTGAAGTGACGCTCCTGAAGCCTGTGATAAGAGGGACAGGTTTCAGAAAGGGGACCACGGGCACATATGGGGATCCTGGGGTGCAAATTTACAGCCACATGGGAAAGTATGTCGCATTGTGGGTCGAATTTTGAAAACCACATAAAATACATATGCAGGGCCAGCAATATCTCATTGATGATTGCATTTGAAAGGCAAGGTGAATTTAGGCATTTTTGAAATACATTTTAATATATTAATATAGCACAAATATTATGTTAAATTATTATTTTATATTTTTGTAATGTATGTTATATTAATATCATATTCATATAAACCCATTTTAATGTTAATACTGTTTAATCTAATTTTGGCTTTCTAATCAATGAATTATTTTTCTGTTTAATTAATTTAATTTTCTAATTGTATGTCTTAGGAAGGCTTTATGTGTGTGGGACTAGAGCCTCTGCTTCCTGGAGTATTTATCCCTTCACTCTTCATCAAACCTTCTCTGAGTTTCTTTTGTGTGTGGTGGGTGCTGGAGAACAGACATCAGTCAGGCGCGGTCTTGCCTCGGTTGCGTGTGGCCTGGTGGGGCACACATTTTACACAGAGAAGCACGCCTGTGTGCTCCAGCGGCGTGCAAGAGGCACAGGAGCAAGGGAGGACACGTGGCCAGGCGAACCTGGGGGACGTCAGGGCCATTCCAGCCCTGGCCTCTGACTTCCCTTGGTCATGTCACCCTGACTGGCATGTGATGTCTTTACTTCTCTTCCATAACCCCCTCCCCTTTTAACTAGGTAAGCTTTGTGTGCCAATGAACATTGGGTCACGCATGGGTCAGATTTTACTCTTTCAGAGAGCCTTCACTCGTCACAAGTCTGTAGTCCTAAGGATTCATATTATTGTCCTTATTTTTCAAGAAAGAATGGACTGAAATCAGGAAATAAAATTTGACTAGTCCAAGATGAACCTGAAATTAGGACTCACTTGTCATTAGTTGTTCCTTAAAAGCGTGAGAAGGCTCTGGAACTACTCCTTCTGAAGGCAGTGCCGTGTTGATGTGGAGAGTACCCCTGCAGGAGGCTCACTGTGCCCTTCTTGGCCAGCTCCTGGACACTGGGGTTGGGCACACATGTTCAGGCTAGGGTCCAGCATGGAGGGTGCTTTGGACATACTGGAAAGATGCCACACTGTGAATGACGGACTCTCTGGGCCTAGGAGAAGCTGCAGGGATTCAGAGCATTGCTATAAAGTGGAATTGTGGAAAGTTGGTAAGAATTTGCCAGGCAGATGGTGTAGAGAAGGGGGTGTGGGCAGTGGGTGGGCATGTCCAAAGGCATGGGAGAAGAGTGGTGCAGGTGGCAAAGAACAGCTCACCTGGTGCAGATGGGACCAGAAAGGGATTTGTAGCAAGATATTTGTCAGGAAGAGGTAAATTGGCAGGGCTCACTCCTGGGGACCGTAAGTCCTTGAGCGTGGGTGAGGCTGAGTGGCAGTAGAGAATAGCAACCCACCTCTCAGTGGCTCATTTCGTAATCATAGGAAGCCTGCTCTGGGTTGGGGGCTTTCCTGGCTAGCTTGCCTCCGTGCAGTGACTAGAGGACCCTTGGCATCGTATGCTACTGTCTTCAATACTTGGTCTCTGAGTTTGCTGCAAGAAGGGAAAGGAGAGTCAAGAGGAAGTCGCTTCAGAGGCTCAACATCACAGCCCAGAAGCCACACATCATGGCTCACCTCTGTTGGTCAGAACTGGTCTTGGGCTGGGAATTTGATCTCTAGGAGCTCTACTAAGTCTTTGGTGGTCAGCTGGCCACTGCCGCTATACCTTAGTCTGAGAATTTTGGTCTTTCTCCTGTGGCCAACATAAAAGCAGGGAGATAATATCAAATTTATGTTTTAAAAATTGCTGCCTAGCAAGGGGAAGTGGGAGAGGTAGGAGAACTTTGGGCACAGCTGGTGCTCTGCCTGATAGGTGGTGACTGATGATGGACCTAGGCAATGCGGCTGGACAGGAGTAACGGTTCCTGGGAGTAGACCAAATGGACCAGACTCAGGCACACGAAGGATATGAGGGGCAAGGATGAAACTGGAGCTGGGGTTTCTGCTTTGGGTCGGGTGTTGCTTCTGAAAAGAGGAAGGGCAGGTTTTGGCTGAAGGCAGGGTGCGGGCACGTTGAGTTCTGGACCTGTCAGTTGAGTTGCCTGGCCTCTCCCAGGTTCTGCAGGCTGCTTGCTGATGGCATCCCACTGTGACATGTCGAAGCGTGATGTTTCCTCTACCCATGACACTTGTCTCTGTGGAATGGTTTTGGCCTAGTACATGTGGCTTGGCCGATGGAGCCTGATGTGTACCCTGTTCTTCCTGAGCTGACGGTCCTTTTCCACATGTTGGTGTCTACTCTTGAGAACACGATCTCTGATTTTCTTGTCCTCTGATTTATTTCCTTTTTGTTTTAATAAAACTTTCTTTCCCATTTCTGTGACTCAGAAAAAATAAGTCTTTCCTGTGTCTTTTTGGTTCTTAAACAGTGAATGGATTGTGTATTCAGTTAATATTTGGTAATGCACCTTCTATTCTTGCTTCTCTTAGGCTTCTTTGACACTATCCCCTCAAGTCTATTTTATGCTTGTTTGAGATCATTTTTCTTCATAAAAGTAAAAGTGAAAATATATTCAAAAGAACATTGTAATACCCTGTGTGAGAATTACTTTTATTAATATTGTCACTGTCACTATGAGATTACTGGTCATAGAAACATGTATCTTTCATTTCAGTTATTTTATATGGCTACTATGTTTATTGATGATTTTGTTTTATTTTGTTTACAAATAAATAAGAAAAAGAACAATATGCAATTCTAGAGGAAAAAAATACACCTGCACTACTAGAAATTCCAGTAGAAATAGAAGCTCAAAGAGAACCACAAATGGGACAAGATTCACAAAATGAATTATCATCAAGTCAAGAAGAACCAACAACAGAGCAACAAGAGTCCTCTGAAGAGTCACCCATGGGACAACCATCCCAAGAATCAATACCTGAGAAACGAGAGTCCTCTGAACAACCATCCCAAGAATCAATACCTGAGAAACAAGAGTCCTCTGAACAACCATCCCAAGAATCAATACCTGAGAAACAAGAGT